TGACTTGCGGAGGCGGTGTCGAGAGAGACCTCCGCCTGGCTTCGGATCTGGACTGGGACAAGGCACGTCACGTGTCTTCTTTCAAGGCATCATCAGCGACTCGAGCCTCCTCCGAATCCTCCGGGCTTTCATCGTCATCGTCATCGTCGTCCGGGGTGAAGGAATAAGGACCGGAGGACAGCGTTCGCTTCGACGACGATCGGATAGGAGGCCCTGAGCCGTCGGACCAGTCCGATCCCTCATCCTCGTCGTCCTCCGAGCTACCAAGTCCACAACCAGTGGGGATGACACGTTTAGCTTTCCCTTTCCTGGATTCAGTTCCGACCGGCGGAGGGCCGGTTGAAGCTGGCTGGGGAACGGTAGGCACCGTCACCGAAGGGCCAGCAGTGGATCCCGACTGTGACGAGCCGGACTGGGCCGTGGATACGACTAACCCTGTCGTAGAAGAGGTAATCGCCGCGGATCCGGCCGAAGCCACTGCCTGGGACGACGGCGCGATGGTGGATTCAGTCTTGGACGTAGATCCCGTCTTGGGCGTAACTGCAGATCCAGTCTTAGACGCCTTAGATCCGGCCTTGGACGCCGATCCCGACTTGGATGCCGCGGATCCCGGCTGAGAGGCAGCAACGGACCCAGCCTTGGGCCCAGATCCAGACTTTGACGTGACCGCAGTGGATCCAGCCTTGGGTCCTACACCCGTCTTTGAGGCTGCGACGGATCCAGCCTTGGCGGACGACCCGGACTTGGAGGATGTGGATCCCGGCTGAGACGCAACAGCGGATCCAGTCTTGGGTACAGATGTAGATGTTGACGTGACAGCAGTGGATCCAGCCTTGGATCCCACACCCGGCCTGGGCGTAGCTACGGATCCGGCTTTGGCGGTGGCGATGGATCCGGACTTGGATCCGGCACCAGACTTCGAAGGGGAGGCGGAACGCTTGGACGTGGATGTGGATCCCGCCTGGAAGACTGTCTTGGAGGCCGAACTGGTTTTGGGCTTGGTCTTGGGAGAAGCTCGGGCATGCTTGTGGGGACGGGGGGGGGGATCCAGTGCTAGGAGCAGCGGATGAGCTACGCGGTCGTTTTGCAGCCGACGGATCCGCTCCACTTACGGACGGTAGAGAAACAGAGACGCTAGCAGCGGAAGAGGATCCAGACAGGGGAGGAAGGGGATCTGAGATAGCAGCTGTCACCAGAGCCAGTCGTCGGCGCGCCAAGTCCCGCTCCGATAAGCCGCGATCGCGCTCTAGAACTAGCTGCTGGTGCTGAGCATGAGCAGCGGCGAGCTGATCCCGGAGTTTTGTTGCAGTCGCCTCGGCATCCTTCAGTTTGTCACCTGGATCGACATAACAAGTGAATATGGGGTTACTAGCAGGAGACAAAAGAAGATCCACGTACTCGCGCGACGGAGCTTGGATTCTAGCTCCGTTTGCGTTTGCTTGGCATCCGCCCGCTCGGTAGCCGCCTTGTCACGCTGAAGTTCGGTGTCCGCCAGCTTTGCTTGGATCTCGTCGCGTATTTGAGTCACGCGTACGAATTCTTCAAGCGCGTAATCCCGCCCAGCAGAGGCTTTCTCGAGTGACTCCTTGGTATCTTTCAGCTCGTCAGAAAGACGAGCCAGAGCCACATCCGGCGACGAGGGAGGTGGATTCGGTGCGGGGGACCCTCCACGCGCCGACCCTAATGCAGATCCGCCATGGGTGGATCCCACATAGGCATTAGTCACCACCTCTTCTTGAGTCAGGCGCAACTCGTCGCGGAGCCGATCCAAGCTCTCGTCCGCGGCCGCACTAGCAGTTTGGGAATCCTCCACATCCCGCTCGAGGTCATGGATCCGGGATTGGAGCTGGTGGATCTCGGATCCGGCGAGCGCCATCTCCCCAAGGAGGTGGTCGTTGTCGTCTCGCATGCCATCCCGCTGACGGGAGGCGCGATCCAGCCGTCCAGTCAAGTCGCGGATCTCGACCGCTTGATCGGCCAACAAGAGTCGCAGGTCCTGCGAACGAGAAGCCGCACGGTGCTCCCACCCTTGGATCTCCATAGCCTGGTCATGGACCTGGGCTCGCAAGGTTTGGAGTTGGGTGGCGTGCGAAGACGCGGCTTGGTCTCGAGCATCTTGGGGTGTCTGGAGCTCCGCCGTCAAGGTTTGCACCCGACCGGAAAGAGCCTGGGCTAGAGCCTGTAGATCGGTGGGCGACATTGAGAAGGGCTGACCGGAGGAGTGGTGGATGGGGCCTTGCCCGGCGATTTGTTGGTACGCTTGGTGGGAGACATGTGTCACGTAGAGGAGGAAGCGGTTGTGGATGCTGGTAGTGCACGTCGTGAGCGCTGTTGTGCAGCGCCGACCACGTACAGGAGGCGATTGTGGTGAAGTGCTTTCTCAAAAATAAGAGAATGGACCTAACGCGGGGTCACTACCCCGAATCAGTGACAATTTCGAGTGATTAGAGAGGATTCGGATCGTCCGGCGCGGATGCAAGTTGCCTGAGGTGGATTAGCCATGACGAGCAGCAGCCCGTATGAGACGACGATGGATCTGGTATGAGTGATGTACGAGAAGGCACGATCCACCAAGCCATATCTCGGATCCAACCTTACCTCGGTTCACTTAGGTGGATATGGGATATACTATGGGTACGGGTGGATCGAGTGTGGATCCTATGAAGGAATGATGGTAGGTGTCATGTGAAGGTGGATCTAGTATCCACGACTAACGAGAAGTCAAGATCCACCGCGAGGTGTACCAGATCCCATACTTCCGAGTCCGGATCCAAAGGGATGAGGATCCCATACGAAGTGGCCTGGATCCAGAATATGGGGACAGTGGATGCAGTGGATCTCGAACTTTCGAAGGACAATGGAGATCACAGACGGTCGCAAGACAATGTTGGAGGATTGGAGAGCTCAGATCCATGACGAGTGTACACTTACAGTGAAGTGGATCAACGCGACCTGGATTCGGATGAGTGTACCCATAATATGGAGACCATAATGATTACGCCATGGATCCGGTGGATTTGATGATAATATAGCTGGGATGATGGGTCAAGGAGAAAAAGAACATGCAGCCGAGCCTGGTAGGGGATTTAGCAGGTAAAAGACGTAGAAGGTAGAAATCCAGGCAGGTATAGAGTTAAGTATTAATACTGACTTCTATTTGCACAGTAACACGCAAGTGCCTTCCTGCCCTCAAGAATCGGAACTACATTGGCCGTACGAGCTCGAAGAAGGTTGGGAATTGCGAATCTAGTGTTGGTAGTGATACCTGGATAATACATTGGCCAGATCCTACAACCTAGTGAGCTTTTCCTTTACACGTGCAGATCCGACAGGCTAACCGGATTTACTACTTGGCCGGGTATACCCAAGAAGATCTCAACTCTCCAGATCCCGTCACAGGAGGCGGCAAGTACGACGCAAAGGAAACGCAAAGGCAAGGGAACACACCCGCAAGGCAACCCTTCGACCAGATCCACGATCTAGGCCCTGGATCCATAAGCTCGAATATTCGCTTAGGATTCAGAACCAACCACGGACGCAGAGTGAAGATATCACCACCGCTGCTCCCCCCCATCCCCACGTCTCGCCAAGACACTCAAGCTTCACCACTTGAACGCTTCGGAAGTTACCGAGAGAGCATGATCCCGCCCTACCGACGGGTACACAAGGTGAGGAAAGTTCAGCAGAACACGGATCATCGCGGGACCCCCTCCGTTAGTCGGTGTCTGGGCGCAGTTGGTAAGTTGGATCCAGCAATCTCGCAGATTTTGTTGATCCCGCTACACCACATAAGTCTTACTCTGGTAGCCGCCTGACGTTGAGATCTCGTCGATTTTCCCAGACAACTGCAACCACGGCAGGTTATGATGCTCTTTGTTTTTCTTCTTGTCTAGCTTTCTGCTCAGTCTGGAATCCAAAGTAACTGTTTAAAGCAGGGTCGAACAGCCTTCGTCAAATTGAACAACTTGAGTGTACTAGGTGTCACGGAACTAAACCGTTCCGTGAAAGCTTAAGCAGTTGCGAAACTACCCGGTAAGAGATATAGAAACGACTTCGCCAAAAGACAGAAACCACTACAGCGACTCTTGGTAGCAAGCGACCCCCGAGAGTCAACGGAAGACAAACTAAAACAAAATACACTTTGAGTTAACCCATCTACTACGCAAGTCCTCGCCAACAACGTCTACAAGCTTATTCTCGCCAGGTCGGGGTCCCCTCAAAGTCCTCCGCCCAATTCCAGCTCTACGCTTCCACCTACCGCTTTGTGGTGTCCCAAGACGTAGGTCTCATTCGGACGGGAATCCACCATATTTGCAACAAAGTAGACCTTGAAGTAGCAGGCAACAACATGAGCGACGTCGGCAGTGAATTCGACGTAGCGAAAGACACTCGCCCACTTGACGCCGAAGAGATAGATCGACTTCGGCTGGTCCTGTCAAATCTAGAAGCGCTAGAACAAATACTACACACGCTGACACGAGACCAAACAAGTCTGACCGAAGCTGTTGCGGTATTCGCTACGCGAACCGAACAACGACAGAGCCAGAACATGGAGCAGATTAAGGCAAACCAGGCGTTGCTTCATGAGGTGATTAACCATATCCAGAGTTTCGCAATAGAAGTGATGAAGAAATGGCCAAGCAAAAAACCGACTTGGCCTCGCTAGGAAGAGAAATGGATGCACTACGACAAGGCATTCAAATGCAAAAACCACCTCGCAGAACGTCGACCAATCCGCTAACAACCACGGGTACAGGAACGGAGAAGAACTATATGTAGAGTGGGATGTTGTGGGATCAAGCCCGCCCAACGCACCCAGTTTCACCAATCTGGAGCTAGAAAGTCGAGTATCAATGGGCTTGAAGCAAAAGGAAACACCGGTGTATGGTGGTACTGAAGACGACGACATCGACGTGTACGTGCTCAAAACGATATCGTGGTACGCAGCATACGGTCTTTACTTGAGTCAAGATCAAGTCGATTAGCGTGTTGGTGAGCTGATGTTAAACCATACAAAAGGAACCGCAAAGAAGTGGCTCCTGCAAGACTATAAGGGCGAACGACGCTGGAGTCATATTGTGAGAAAAAAAATGAAGCAGCGATTTGTGACCCGACCCCGAGAAGAAGACCTTGTTGTGAGCTTCTTCGATTGCAACCAAGGAAGTAATTTTATGGATACATATATCGACGAATTTCAGCGTCGGAGTCGCAGCAATGATGTATCCGAAAAGTACAAGATGATTAAATTCAAGAAGGGCCTGCGCTCGAACCAGTTAAGGGAACTAGTTAAGACCCAGATACACGAGTCATTGGACGAACTGTTCGATGCGGCCCGATCATTTAACCCTCGCGATGTACCAGCTGAAAAACCGACTGGAAGCCAGAACCCTTATCCGGGTTCAAACAAAAAAGCTGGTGCTCTCAAAAACAAGAGCAGTGAGCTCGGTAAATGTAGCTCGTCTCGGTGTCTCGCGAAGGGGCATACAGAAGACAAGTGTTGGATGCGGCATCCGGAGCTGCGTCCGGCATGGTTTAAAGATGGAGGAGGAAAGTGACTCGGAGCTGCATCAGCAGTGGTCGTACATTGTATCTCGGCTACGACAAGCGACAACGACAAAATGTGGGAAGTGTTAAGTGCTATTCAGACAGACCTTGCCAAGATCAAGTCTGATTTAAACTAACGGGTCTTGAAGATGGCGTCTCAAGACCGAACATAGACAGCACCAATGCCCAGAATCGCGTCTTTCATCCTGGCACAAAGGCAAATTACACGTACTTCGAGTCTGGAAACGGAGAAAAGAAGTTAACACCTGAACGCTATCTAATCAAGACGGTACGCTGCGAGAAAGATACGACATCCGCGGCAGCACGAACATTTTTGATGAGGGAGCTGATTTTTGTGGAATTTCAGAGGAATTCGTGGAGCAGCAGGGCTGGATGAAGGGGGTTGTCGATCATGGCGCAATGCAAGTAACTTATGCTAACGGGAAGACCGAGTCTGTGCGTCAGCAAACCATTCAGCTAACTGTCTTTGTGGAAGAATTGCCAGCGTTTAAGTTCGCGTTTTACCTGTGTCATATCCCAAATCAGTGTGACATCATGCTTGGAGTGCCATGAAAGCGGCTTGCAAGACCCATTATCGACTGGGAAACAGATCGAATACTCTCTAGAGAAGCATTCATACAAGAGGTAACAGCAGGGACTGCTGCATGGACAACACCAAAGGCTCCAAATCCACCAACGACCTGTTTGCCGGAAAGCGATACTACTATAGCAGACGTTTTGGATTCACAAAACATATCACGCTGAAACATGCGGACAAAATCATCCGAAAACAAGATGTCGAGTTTGTTGCAATCATTCCGGAGGAGACCATCAACGCGCTGTACATGGAGATATTAAAAGAAGACGGCAAGGAAGCGGTGACAGTAAAGTTCGCACAGGCAGCAAAATGTCTCGAGAAACATACTCGTCAGGTCATGACAGATCGAGAAAGTTTTAAAGACACACCCGGCTACCCGCTCGTGTGTGAGTTTGCTGAATGCCAATTTCAGCGCTCCAAAAGCCTTGATACATTCTCCTGTCCACTTCAACTCCTTCCGGCCCTTGTGCTTAACCATTTCGAACAGAGGAGCACTGATTTCCGAGAAATTCTTACAGAATCACTGAACGTAGACAGTGGTGCCCAAAAACGATTGCAAGTTTCGTATAGTTTTTGGGAGTGGCCACTCCCGCACGACTCGAACTTTGTCCGGATCGATGCGTATACCCTGCCGCCCGACAAAATCTCCAAGACAGAGAATTTCTGCTGCGCAAATAGTAGATTTTGATATCTTGAGGAAGATCTTCTTCTCGCGACATCTCTCGAACACACGTCGGACCGCAGCTAAGTGAGCTTTGACATCAGTCTCCTTAGTGAAAACGTAGATATCATCAAAATAAGTGGCGACGTTATCTCGCAAGGCCTCGAAAATCCGCTGTACGATACGATTGAATGTTGCCGGCGTGTTACTGAGGCCCATGGGGAGAGCTATGTATTCGAACAGTCCATCCGGGGTCTGGAACGCCGTGAACGGTATATCCTTGGTCCTCATCCTGATCGGATAGTACCCCGAGAGTAAGTCGAAGCCGCTGTACCAGTGTGACCCACTCGTTCGGTCGAAAATCGCGTTCTTCCGTGGCATGGGTGTTGATTGCCGAATTGTTCTAACATTCAACGCTCTGTAATCGTGTACCACGCGCCACCCTACTGGCTTTTTAATGCAAAAAGTCGGTGCCCCGTGATGCGATATGCTTGGTCGGATTAAACCAGCCCGAAGCATTACCTTCACCCACTCGCGTAGAGCTCGCTCTTGATCTGGACTGAGTAACCACTGTGGCTTGTATACGGCACCTGTGCCTGGCATCATTGTCATTTCGTGTTCGCCATGGGTGGGGGCCCTGGCGGAAATACCGTCCTGAAAATATGACCGACACGCCCGTGCTCGCGTTACCAGATTTCTCTAAGCCCTTCTTGCTACGCACAGATGCATCTCAGTTTGCAGTTGGGGGTGTACTACTACAGCACACACAATCTTGCGATGGAACATCACGAGAGGAGAAACCAATTGCGTATTGTGGAAGGAAGATGAACTCAGCTGAGCTAAACTACCCGACGCATGAACAAGAGATGCTAGCGATAATTCATTGTCTGAAGATCTGGCGCGTCTATCTGCTTGACGAAGGTTGCACAGTAGAAACAGACCACCACTCACTGGAGCGAGTACTCACGCAGAAAACAATTAACCGACGCATTTGTCGGTGGTATGACCTGCTTGCGGAGTTCCAGCTTCAGTTTCGACATATTCCAGGAGAAACTAACACCGTAGCCGACGCACTAAGTAGGCGAGCTGATTTCGAGATTGATTTCCTGGAACAAAAGCGGAAACAAGTTCTCGCTGCTCGTCGACTTAAAGCGACAACACTAGTTACACTGATCCGCCGGGCACAACGACGGGCCGGCCTGACCAAAGCGTGTTCGCTCAGAAGGAAATCGAGGACACTGGAGACTTCGTATACGACGAGAGCGACGGTATTGTCCTGTAACGAGTGCAAGATCAACTGAAAATCTACATTCCAGCTAAGGATGTCGAGATTCAGAACACAATACTTTGGGAACTTCACGACATCATTATATCAGGCCACCCAGGAATCGATAAAACACGGCAAGCAGTGGCAGAGCGGTTTTATTGAAAAAAAGGGCAAAAGCAAGTGAAAGACTACGTGGCAACATGCGAATCCTGTCAGCGAAACCAATTCCGTACGGGAAAGAATCCAGGACTGCTACATCCGTTAGAAGTCCCAACGGCAAGGTGGTCTTCAATCGGAATCGATTTCATGACGGGTCTGCCGGCGACAGGCGCCGAAAACGACGCGATCATGGTAATCGCAGATCGATTGACAAAACGCGCACATTTCATCGCGACAACAGGAAGGATCTCGGCTGAGTTGCTGGCAAAAGTGTTTATCGATCACTATGTGCGCTTACATGGGCTACCTGTTGATATAACGACAGATCGAGACTCAAAATTCACATCCAAATTCTGGGGCCAGTGCGCAAATTTATTGGGGACGTAATTCAATCTCGTAACAGCACATCACCAGCGGACCGACGGTCAAGTAGAGAGGACGAACGTAATCCTTGCAACTTATCTCAGACACTACGTGAGTGGGTTCCACAATGACTGGGATGACTACTTGGCGCTGGCGGAGTTTGCCTACAATCGACAGTACCAGGCGACTATAGGCATGTCGCCATTCTATGCTGATATTGGCTACAACTCACGAGTACCCGCCGATCTACAGATTATGAACCTGGAAAACACCTCGGCAGTGACGTTTATACAGAAACAAGAACAACTTCTGCGGGAGCTCCAAGCAAAAGTCTGTTTCGCGGCAGAAAGAATGAAGCTTCTATATGATCGAGGTCGCCGGGATCAACAATTACAAGACGGTGAAATGGTATTGATATCGACTAAGAACTTCAACCTAGCTGTAGTTGGAGCAGTGAGAAGGATGTTTGCAGCGAAACGGATTGGTCCATATGAGATAATTAAGGTCCTACACGATGGAGCATCATATGAGGTCAACCTTCCACCGGAATTGAAGATACACCCAGTATTTTACGCAATGGTACTGAAGAAATTTCGGAAGGATACCACTGCAGTCGAGCGTGATAGTACGATCCCCACCGTCCGGCTCAAAGACGGTTCAGAGAGCCATTTAATCAAGACTATCCTCGACTATCGAATATCCGGAGACGGCGGGGAGCAGTACCAGTGCAAGTGGGTGGGTCGCAATGACGATATCACATGGGAACCAACCGCAAATTTGATGTCAGTACCCGGCCTTATTAGGGAATATCATCGACGAGCAAATGGCCGGCCAACGCGAACATCCAAACGACTACTAGCAAAGCCTCACAGAGCGGCTAATACAATCCATTTAGTTCGTCAATATGTAACTTGTATGAAGTGCTGTCCGGCGGAGGTCGTGTCACGGAACTAAACCGTTCCGTGAAAACTTTAGCAGTTGCGAAACTACCCGGTAAGAGATATAGAAACGACTTCGCAAAAATACAGAAGCCACTACAGCGACTCTTGGTAGCAAGCGACCCTCGAGAGTCGACGGAAGACAAACTAAAACAAAATACACTTTGAGTTAACCCATCTACTACGCAAGTCCTCGCCAACAACGTCTACAAGCTTATTCTCGCCAGGTCGGAGTCCCCTCAAAGTCCCCCGCCCGATTTCAACTCTACGCTTCCACCTACCGCTTTGTGGTGTCCCGAGACGTAGGTCTCATTCGGACGGGAAGCCACCATATTTGCAGCACTAGGAATCTTAGGATGTGTACGATATTTTTGCTATCTTTTAGTTTTTTATCCAGCTTCTCCTCTATCATACAGCTATGTTCTCCTCTGTGATATTACTTAGTTACATTTATATATATATGACCAGCCCCATCCTCTAGTTCTGGGAAAGCAGTGCAGTGTGCTGCTGAGACAGCCCAAAACAGATTCAATCGGAAGAAGCTGGCAACTGAAGCCTGTAGCTGAAGCCGGTAGCTGAAGCCGGTACACTAATGAATTTAATTTTTTTTGACAAGCGCAGAGGAGACTACTAGGGCTCTTATTACACCCAACTAGCCGAGCGCTGGCGGTAGTTTAGGTTTTATTCTAGAATAATTATTCCAAAAGCTCTGAGCCCCTATGTGCCTAAATCGACTTCTTTAATTTAATAAATCTGGATTTAATTTAGACCAGTTGCTACAAAAATGCTGAGTAAGCCGTGCACATATTTCTACAAAAAACGGAGCCCCTAGCATCATACTTACCATGCTTAAGAAAGACTACTCTAGTGGTCTTGACACAGTCTCTTAATTATTGTTGGCTATCACTGTGCCTTCATCTTCCACCCAAGATCACCTGCACTTCAAATAGCGTGTGTGGTGTAGCGGGATCAGCAAAATTTGTGAAATTGCTGGATCCGACTTCCCGCCAGTACCCAGACACCGACTAACGGAGGGGGCCCCCGATGATCCGTGATCTGCCGAACTTTGCCCACCTTGTGTACCTGTCGCTAGGGCGGGATCTTGCTTCTTTGATAGCTGCGGAGAAGTCCAAGTGGTGAAAGCTTGAGCGTCTTGGCGAGACGTGAAGATGGGGTGGAGTATGCGTGGTAAGATCTTCACTCTACGTCCGACGTAGGGTTCAGACCACAAGCGAGTCCTTCGAGCTTATACGATCTGGCGGTCTCGATCTGCGATCTGACCGTAGAGATGCCTTGCAAGTGTGTTCCCTTGCCTTTGCGTTCTGTTTCGTCGTACTTGCCGCTTCCAATAGCGGGATCTTGAGAGTTTATAGCCTCTTAGGTATACCCGGCAAATAGTAAATCCGGTTAATATTACGGCTATGCACGTGTATGAGGAAATTTCACTAGGTGGTACGATCTGGCCAATTTATTATCCAGTTATCAATACCAAGACTAGGTCTGCAAGTATCAACCTTCACCGAGCTCGTACGGCCCGATTCTTGAGGGCACGAAGGCACTTACGTGCTACTGTAAAAATGTGTTCTGATTTAAAGCTAAGCCTACACAAGCCTAGATCTATATCCTCTCCGCCCTTCACTCCCTAAATCTTCTGCCAGTCCTG